ATATATGAATTTCACCCTCTCTATATGCATGCCCATGATTTTTATGTGATTTGCATAACAAATATGGTTTAATTTTTTTTAAATGTATGATATAGAAAATAAATATGATATGATATTTTGTCTATATATAGGTATTATAATGAGCCTATTTATATATTGATTAATATTGTATATAAAATATTATTAAATCATGAAATTTATCATCCAGATGATACAATACTTTTGAGCATTACTATAAATATGTATAGAAAATTATCAAATTTATTAAATATACAAAACTTCTTTATTAAGTAGATATAATATTTGTTAAAGATATATATAAATTGATGTGATACATATTAGAATATTCTTAAAGTAAACTTATCTTACTAATCACTACTCAAATTCTAACTATACAAATATTAAAATTCATTTTTACTAATATATAATTACTATATCTTTGAACAAAATATCAAAAACTAGAGTTTTCTTATCTGATTCTCAAAAATATAAACTCTATTTATATGCTTATCAAAATGTTAAATTAATCAGAAAAGAATATATTGATTAGATTGAAAGCAAGTGGATAATTTGAGTTAATGATTTAATTATATCAAGAGTTTTAAAAAAAAGCAAAGAAATACTTAATACTAAACTTACCCAACCAAATACAAAGTACCATAAGCCAGTAACAGTTTCCAAACTTGAACTCACTCTTAGAGAATTTATTTTAGTTTACCAAGATAGAGTTATTTTATCAGATATCATCTTGATTGAAAAAGTAAAGTAATTAGCAAATAGCTTAGGAATTTCAAATGGAATGCTAAAATTTTCAGCTGGTTAACTCCAAAAATTTAAAGAATAATATGATATTCATCTGAGAAAACTTCATGGAAAATCATCATCAGTAGATACTACTATAATCACTAATATCTTGCTATTATTGAAAAGTATTTGCAAAATATATTTTCTTGAATATATATATAATATGGATGAAATTAGTCTCTTTTACAGACTTGAATCAGACTATTTGTTAGTCATATACAGACTTTCTGGATGTAAAAAAGATAAAAAAAGACTTACTATTGCTTTGTATACAAATACTAATGGCTCTCATAAGTTAGATCTATTAGTTATTAGTAAATTTGTCAGATTATAATGCTTTACCAATATCAATATTAATAGTTTGCCAATAACATATCATATCAATAGAAAGGCTTGGATGCTGACTATAATTTTTTAAGAATGGCTTCAAGAATTTAATAAGCAAGTGGATCAAAGATATAAAGGCCAAAGAGTCTTATTAATTTTAGATAATTATCCAAGCCATAAGACAGATGGTGTCATTCTTTTAAATATTGATATTCATTTCCTACCTCCAAATATCATGGCTAGAATTCAACTAATAGATGCAAGAATTATCAGCTTATTTAAAAGACATTACTGTAACCTGCATATCAGATGGATTTTAAGTGAAATTCAGAAAGAAAGAAATATTAAAGACTTAAAAATGAACATTCTGCAGGTAATAAATTATATCATTAAGAGCTGGAAAGAAATTATACTATTAACTATCAGTAATTGTTGGAAACATACAAATATTTTCTTTACTAATGTCAGTACTAAGTCAAGTGAGCTTCCTTACAATAATTCACCTACTACAATAGTTAGTAGGCTCACACAAATGATTACAGATCTTAACTTAGCTGATAGTATGAGTCTTGATGAGTTTTTGAATAATCCAGAGGAAGAAATAGTTTATAAAGTACCTGATAGTGACACATTTATTGAAAATCTTGCTGAACTATACAGAAAATCTTCAGATACACACATTGTTGATGATAACAAAGTTGATGATAGTGTTGAATTACCAATTGTAAATTGCAGTGATGTTGCAAGCAGTTTAGAGGTTGTTTGCTCTTTTCTGCAACAGCAAGAAGATTCTAAAGAATTATTCAAATATATTAATGCACTAGATCGTTATATTAGTTTAAAATCAATAAGCATAATGAAACAAACAATAATAGATGAGTTTTTTAATCAGTAGTAATAATATTTTACTTTTATGATTAAATAAAAATCTGATCAATCACGTGCAACCAATAAAATGCTGACCCTCTATACATGCATCCCTCCATATAAGCACACTTTGGCCCATTCCCAAGGGCGTGCTTATATGGAGGGTTCACTGTATTAAATCGCAACTAACTTCTATGGTTATACATTATATAAGATATATGTATAGTGGTAAGATCGATTTGTCAGATCATGGAGTGCCAACAATAATAGATTTATTGGTCGCTGCTGATGAATTGATTCTTGAAGATTTGATTGAGTATGCTCAAGAATATCTTTTGGAGCAACGTTCTGAATCTTTGGTTGAAAATTTTGCTTTGATAAGTCAAACCGCTTTTCAACATAATTCCTTTGTCGAACTACAAGAATTCTGTATGGAGATCACGTGTAAAATCCGGCTGCAGAACGATTTCGCAAATATTCAAGAAACAGCAATCATCACTTTGCTTAAACGAGATGATTTAAATATTAAAGAGATTGAAATTTAGGAAAAGGTTGTTGAGTGGGGAATCGCTCAAACGTCAACTTCTGGTAATGTCGATTTATCGGTTCCAGTGGATCAATGGTCACAAAACGAATTTAATCAACTCAGCACTACGCTTAAAATTTGTATACCGTTAATTCGTTTCTTTCATATAAACTTTGTTGATTTTTATAACAAAGTGTTGCCATACTCGGAGATATTACCAAAAAATCTTTTCAAAGATTTATTGCATCATTATTTGGTACCTGGAGGCGAAGAACAACAAGCGTCACTTTGCTCCATTCGTAATTCGACAACAATTCTTTCTCGAAATCAAATCGATAAAATTATTCAATGGATTAAAGAACAAGATAATCAAAAAAAATTATCCTTTTGAATTTAATCTATTATTACGTGGTAGCCGAGATGGATTTACTGCTAGTGATTTTCACCGTTTATGTGATAACAAAGGACCAACCATTGTTGCTATACGTATCAAAGATTCAAACAAAATTATTGGTATCCCATCGAATGGAAATCTCTTAATAGATCATATCATGATGAAGTAAAGGGCAGCTTTTTATATCAATTTAATTCTGATGATATTATGGGATCCAGTGGCGTTTTAAGCAAATATAATAGCGATATTTATAGTATAAGAGACTTTTCAAATGGAGGTCCTTGTTTTGGATTTGGTCATGACTTAGGTTTGTTTACTTCAGGTAATTATTGCAACAAATATTCTTATAATTTTGGCCTTTTAGGTGAACATGCTCAGCGTATATCTTTTGAAATTGATGATTATGAGGTTTTATCAATAGTAAAATAGGTTGTTTTAAGCTTCAAGTAATTTTTGAGTTAAATTATTCTATAAAACTTTTTACATTAAAGAATGTAATTGAAATTTTGTCATACCTTGATAAATTTTGAATTTATGGTTTAATATATTTTTTTTCAATTGCAAAATCAATTTTATTAAAATATCTAGCTCTTAATAAGTTGAAAAATAATATTTACATATTTATTTATCAAATAAAGCTGGTTTTATCGATATTGCTTAAATTCGGAAAATTGATTAAGTAAATATAATTATGATATATATTGCTGTGAATTTTGGATAATTAAAATTATAATTAATACTAAACAACTTTTTGTTTTCAGATTTTCAAAATTGCATATGTATTTTAATAACTATTTTTCTTGTATATATATAATATACTATATAAATGAATAAAATATTTACTAATCAGCATGTTTATTAAGTACACTTACTAATTTTACTTGATCCTCTTAATAATAATTATGAGTAATTTTACAGTGTTTTGGCAACTGTTTCTATTATTTGTTTCTAAGCATAACCATGTTCCTTTGTCAAAATTCTTACAAACATATACTTTGTAACAATTAGACTCGCGAATGATTGTAATATTCTATGATCTGTAAAATAATAGATAGTTAGTTAATGATCAAATTATATATAAAGGACAACTCTCGCGAACCGGAGAGATAAGTTGCTGTGTGGTTTAAAAAAAATAAATGAATAAAATTATTTTTAACTCTTATCTATCAAGTAATATTATCTAACAAGCAATTCAAGCTTTTATTTCTTTTGTGTCTTCACAAATCGATGGTTTCATTTTTGTGCTTAGCAAATCAAAGGCTTACCGCTTTGGCCATAGAAAGTTGATGATTCTTTGATTATTGAATTATTCGGTTGTTTTGATGTTGATGTTGTTCATTTTGTTATTGGTTTGGAACAAACTATTTTTGTGGTTTTGAAATAAATATTATTTGAGTTCTATGAGTAAATTTTTATATGCATAGTAATCTTTTGTTATTTGTATTAAAATTATATCTTGTTAGTAATTGGTTATTACTTTTGTTAATTAGAATTACATTTTATTCATTACCCTTGCCCTTGAATTTCTCTATTGCACAATCTTCGTGTAAGATTGGCATAGGAGACCTTTAGAACCTCAGTGAACTCCATTTCGTGTAAATCATTCCGTCTAACGTTCGACCCTCGTTGCATCTACAATTTTTTAGACAACCTAACTTCTGAATTGAGTGTGACAGTATGATGGAAAAAATAGAGTTAAGTTAAGCTCAAAAGTTTAAATCATAGTATTTTTTTTTAACATTAAAGGAAGAATCACAACACTTAAGATACTGTATACTATTATTAGGATTTCAAAGATTACAAATCGAACAAAATAACCAAGTTAAATTATCGAAAGAACTAAATGAACATGGTGAATCGGCTATGCAAGTTATAGATGTTTGCTATTTACCACCAGTGGTGCTTTTCACCCCTGTCAAGTTTCATAAATGAGATAAGAATAATGAATTATTACAAAGGATCTTTTAGTATTCTCGTTTAAAATAACGAATTTTTCTTAATTTATTTTGGATTTGAAGCAAAGAATAACATCAGCAAGTTTTGGAAACACGGTAAAATTTTCAAACCCAAATTAATTAACAACTATAAAACTTTCCAGAAACTCATTCCCATAATCGTCACCAATCCAAACACAAATTTCCTCAAAATCGTCAAGTCATCTCTCGCAGCATTCGAAAAAGAGTCGTTTACCATAGTAGTATTTTGAGGAGGAGGAGAAGTGGTGGTTGGTAAACTTGAAAAAACTGTAACTCCAATAGCTGAATCTCTACAAATATTATAAAATCAGATCAGTAATCAATATTATCATTTAAATTTACTGATATACAAAATATCTTACGGCATTCGTGTTGTCGCTGTTGTAGGAGTTACCATTGTGCTATTGTTATAAAATGACAATAATTAATAATTAAAATGTAACAAATGCAGCAAAAAAGAATCATACATTAAACGAGTTTGCGATCCATCGACAACTACTGTGGTTACTTGTGAAGTAGAAGATTGTTGTTGAGAATTTCCAATACCGAGGTCATTATTTAAGTTATTTGGGGAATTGTTGATGTTGTTGTTGTTGCCGCCGCCGCTGCTGTTGCCGCCGCTGTTGCTGTTGTTGTTATTGCTATTGCTATTGTTATTGCTATTGTTATTGTTATTGTTATTGTTATTGTTGTTGCTATTGTTATTGTTGTTGCTATTGTTATTGTTGTTACTATTAGCAGTGCTGCTAGTCTTAGGATTGCTTACATCATTACCGTTTGTGTTACCATTGTTATTGTTGCTACCGTCACTAATGCTAGTGCTTACTACAGCATATGTGGTAGTTGGAGAATTAAGTGTTTGTGTTGTAGGAGAAGCGACGGCTGAGGATTTAGGAATGGCAGGTTCTATAGGCACACTTTTGGATAAAAAATTTAATATGAATTATCCACATTAGTACGCTAAATAGTTGCAAAGTAAAATTACTTCATAAATGAAATTCTAACGTTTTATCTGGTTGCCATGACGGAGGACCAATTCTGAGATTGAAAAAATTTGAAGAATTTGATTTCGTAATTGCGATCGAGAAAGCGAAACATAAGAATAATATGAACTTGGAAATTAATTTCATTTTCTTTGTGTATAATTTTTGTATGATTATTTTTTTCGTTACGCCTATATTTTTTAATCCAAAAGAAATTATAATTGGTTTATTTGTATTTAGAGCATTATTTTATTGAACATTGAAACCATTTGCTTAAACTTACTAATATTATTATAAAATGATTTTTGATTTTCTATATTTTGATTAAATGATTTTTTGCGATTACGATAAATCAAAATTTTGAAAACGCAACAAACACATATCCTATTTATAGGGATCTGAATTTTATGTTCAAAAAAATGAACTGTGAGGACGAAATGCATAGTTTATTACAAAGCTGGATAAAATTTAGAATACTATTCGTGTATTTGATAATTTTTTGCTACCAAAAATGGAATATTTTTTCATGCATATTACACTAATAGCATTGATAGCACATTTATCTTTTTGTTCCAATTTTGGAGAATTTGATTTGATTATTGACATGTACAATGTAACGGTACGGATATTGTCTTTTTCTTTTTTTGGCTTTACAGGCTTTTAAATTAATTTTCGTTCTAAGAAATTATTGCATGTACATGTAGTGCATGTACAGCCGGAATCAAACTGAAATAAAATCGAACCATAAAAAGTTAACGATACCAAGCGCAAATTTTATTATACTATATACTACAACTATTATCATCATCGCTTCTAATAAAAAATAGCCAGCAGCATCAATGGGTAAATGATAAAAAAGGTGGTCAACACTTTAAAAACTCATCATTTTTCCTAAGGCAAAATCTTTATAGAACCGAGATGGGCAAATACGCATAATCAAATATATGTGCATGTATTATACGCATGCATGGTATTAAAGTACAAATACCATAATAAGTGGTAATCTATAATTTGTGCAACTAAATAAAGTTTTCAATTCTTTTCAACAAGGTTTTTTAAGTTTAGTGTTAATAATTCATCTCTTAAACTCGATAATAATTCCTTTGAGTATATAGTGCCAACGTTTCTAATAATATATTTGGCAGAGAAAACACAACAGCGCAATTATAAAATATTTATTTCTATTCTTATTAATGTTTGTCAACTTTTTTACAAATATAAATATATAGTCATAACGATAACAATGGGAAATCACAAAATCATCAAGTGGAAAATTCTGAATCTCAAGTAGTATAGCATATGCGCCAAACAGTAATGCCAAGCAAAATAATATTTGCGACATCCTATTCACAAACTACGCAACATTCTTACGACCGGAGGTTTAAAGAGTTCATGCACCCTTTCTCTTTACATAAAAAAGTCTGATTCAGTAAGTTATGTATGCATTTGCTCTTACAATGCACCAAATGATTCACGTATATGTTGGGAATAGAAATGAGCTCTGGTAGCAATCACAAGGTGCTGTTTAAGCAAAATATGATGTTTGACTAGTATCTCGGTGTATAGAGTGAGTATATAAATTAACAAATTCCAAGGATGAAAAAAGCTAATTTATTACTTTTTATTAGAAGAGTATAATTATAATAAAAACTTAACGATAAAGAATAAGTAATTTTTCAAGAAATTTATAGATTATAAAGCAAAAATAATGACCAACAGATTAGTAACAAGATAGATATAATTTATTATAATTAGATAAGTTTAATTTATATATAATAAAAAAATTATTTTAATAATTAGAAAGATTCAATAAATTTGAATATAACTTCTTTACTTATTAATAAATTTATTAATATAATAAGTAGAAAGTAGAATTTTATTTTAATAGAAAATTCTTATATTTTTTATATTGATTTGTATGCTTGAATCAGTTATTTTGAATTTTTATCAATAGATTTTAATTATATTATTTTAATATTTTATAAATTCTTAGAAAATTATAATATTATTAATTTTAAAATAATAAAAATAAATAAAGTAGATAAATATTTATAATTCAACTCAAATAATATATATTTAGTAAAATATTGTAAATGAATTTTAATAATAAATTTTAATTCTATTAAATTTATTTATAAATTTTATAAATTCTCAGTATTTCATTTAGAGATTTATTTAATCTTTTAATTTATTCTTCTAATTAAAAAATATTAATATTACTAGTTTTGTTTCAAGTTATTCAAATAATAATTTTTAAACTTTATTAGTAAACTTGATATTTTATTAATTTTAAATTAATAAAATTAATTTATATAATTTGAAAAATCTTAAAGAAAATTTTATAACATCTAATATTATTATTATAATAGATATTGATATAAAAAATAAGTTTTATTAATAATAGTATGATCTAATACAAAAAGATTAATATACTAATATAAAAATCAATAATTATTTCTAATAAAAATTATTCAAATTTTAACTAATTTTTATAATTTTTTTGTATTAAATAAAAAATAATCTAAATACTTTAGCTTAATAATAAATAAAGTATTATTTTACTATAAAAAACTAAAATAATATTTTTTTTTAAAAAAAGATATTTTAAATATTATCATTATCAATTTGCAATAATAAAACTTCAAATTATGCAAGCAATTTACTCTAGATTTGATAAATATATATTTTAAATTTCATAAAAATTGAATTAATAGTTATAAAGATATTAAGATTTAAATTAAATAATTAAATTATTTACTATATAATTTTTATATTAATTTAATCAAATTTTATATAGTAAAATTTAAGAAATAATAATT